GAGTATGCTGCATGCAAGTAGCAGGGCTAAAACCACTCCCCCAGCCACTACCAGCAGTCCTCCCAGATGTCCATCTGTCCACTGTTCCTTACCTTCCCTTTTAAAAGCCATGGTGAAAGCTGCTGGGGAGGACACAATGCGTGGCAAGTAATTACAGAGCAAAGCAGAGCAGAAGCACCTTTGGGGATAAGCAGCGATTCAGGCAGTCACCAAATGCTGACCCTCCATGAGGGCTGCCTGAGGTCTCTGCTTGTGAAACCAAGCTGAGGACACTGGCACAGCTGTGCTGGGAGGGCTGGGTAAGCACCTACCATGGAATGCCCACAGAACTGCTCACCTGCACTAAACAGAGGTTTTAAAAACAGCAATCCGAAGTCAGCCCTGTTCTTTGCTGCAGGAACCCAGAGACTGCTGGGATTCCCACTGCTGCAGCCTCCCATGCACAGGGGTTCCAGCACTCAGCCACAGACGTGGCAGCTCCTCACCTGCCCCACTACCTGGCACTGGAGGCTGCCAGCCAAGTTCAGCTCTCAGCCTGCTTTAAACGCAGCACATTTGCAAGGCACAGGGTCAAGCTAGAGCAGATGGAATGCTGAATTAGGCTGCTTAGCCTCTATCCAAGTCCTTCCAGAGCAGCTCCTGTTACACCACTAGAGACAGGGTATTGATTCAGACACTAGAAGCAGTTTACATGAACCTTTGGGCCAGCCAGGTGATTTTCAGTGTCTTTGCCAGCAGATTACAACACATGCCCACATACTTTAAGCATAGTTCAATGATATCAGCAAAAATTCACTGATAGAAAAAATATTTTCCTATCGGAGTAGGCAAAACTCAGGGTGGACATCTCCTCCTCCACACACTCACCCGTCTGGAATGAAACCTTCCTGAGCATCAGAAAAAAGGCTGACCCAGGGATGCCCTGAGATTCCTACTCATTTTGTAGCAAGCCATGGTAAGAGGAAATTGAGCTGAATATTGACATGCTTAAGGCCATTTAAAACAGAGACTGGCTTTCCTAACATATCAGTGTTCTTCCAGCCTCTGAGGGCAAGAGACAGAGAGGAAGAGAATTGCTTTTGGGCAGAAAGCACTAATAAAATAGGAATTTCCCTGAAATAATTAGCAATGTAAGGAAAAACCACAAAACCCAACCACCCACAAACATTCCCTAAGGAACAGCTTCAAACTTATGAAGTCTCTACATCCACAGGCCACCAGGTGTATGGCAAGCACAGGGCCTACTTCTGCATCAACACTGGGGCACACGAGATCATCTGCATCCCAGATGGACAGGGAATTTGAAAATAGGTTTGCAACTAGGAAGTCCCCAGGGAACTAGGGAAAATTGAATCGCTAAAACAATTCTGATTTGCCAGCTAATACAGATGGTTTTTAACAGAAAGACAACAGCCCTTAGGAAGACATAAGTCCTCTCCCCCATGGAGAGAAGATTGTCATTTTGGCACTTACTTTTTCCTAGTCTTCTCAGGAAGCTTGGCAGGAAATGGTAGAGACTTCCCCTACTGCATAAACTCTTTTATCAGGTTAAATTAGATTAATTCCTTCAGGAAGATTACTGCTCTAGGCAGTTGAGGAGTGCTCTTACCTTGACTCTCATGGTGCTTCTACCCCAATGACTGAAACAGCACTTAAAATTTTGTTTCATTCCAAATCCTTTCACAAAGATGCAGGCCTGTTACCTGCAGGCAACAAATATCCAAATGCAGAATACATCTAAATTGCTAGTGCTACTTCCTCTCTTTTTTTCTGGTTTCCAAACATTCAGAAAAAAATCAGAACTGAAGGATTTCTCCTTGTTTTCTTAATGGAACCATGACAAAGTTGCTATGCAATTGTCTTTTGGGGAATTGGGGCAGGAAGAAAAAGAAAGATAAAACAAACTGCTGGAGTTAACCTGCAAAGAAAACAAATAATTTACATGCCCACATGTGGAATCAACACTCATTTTTTCAGAGGAGTAAGTATCAAAAGCTTTGGACACAGTCATCGACGCTCTGGTGTCTTTCTCCAATGTCTGGTGCTTGCAGCACTACCAGCTAATGGTAACAAAGATTGCTCTGTAAAAGGAGTGGTGGAAATGCCTGAGGAGATGCAAGACCAAGAAGAAAATGTCCCTGCACCCCTGAAAGGTTGCTGCTCATGTGAGAAACCAGTACAAGACCCAGAGTAGCTAGAAGCAGTTGGTGAAAGCAATGAGGCATGTGAAGACAGTTTGTCCCTGGAGCAGCAGCTGGGGAGGGGAGGAGAAGACAGCTGCAGCACTGCCCCAGGACATCCCATGTGCCACCCTATTCATTTCAGGGTATCTGACAAGGGTACTCAAACATGGGCATGATACATTCCATATCATCAGAAAGCTCAGCCCTCAGTGAGCCTCCAGTGGCCCCAGACACGGCTGCAACAGGACAGTGCCACGCTCTGCAGGGACAGAACTTTCCCCATGGGCACTGCAGTTAAGGTGACTTTGCTAATTCACTGCCCAGGGTCAGGTCAAAAGGTTGGCTCATTGACCACCTGCCCTGAGCAGCACTTCCCACCCACTGCTGGTTAACCTCTGTAGCAGCCATCAAAAGGAAAAGCAAGAGCAACCCAGACTGAGTTATTCACTGCAGCAACACGATGCTTGCATTACCCAACCCTTATGCTCTCACCCTCTGTAGCAGCCATCAGAAGGAAAAGCAAGAGCAGCCCAGACTGAGTTATCCACTGCAGCAACACGATGCTGTTCTCAACTTGCATTACCCAACCCTTATGCTCTCACAATAGTGTCCTAAGCTGTTTTTAAAGTCAGCATTTAGCTTTTTTGCTAGCTAATATAACATTTCCTCTCCCTTCCCCCAGTCCAAGGATTTGGCAAAATTGCTTCTTCCGCAAATCCCACTGCAAATGCTGAACTTTTGCCAGTTAGACAGGGAAAATCTTGACTAAAAATAAACCATGTTTCAGAAAATAGACCTCCTTCCAGTACAATGAAGTAGTGGATAATGCATGCAAGCAGATCTGCCAGGAGAACACAGCCTCCAGATTTGCATAAGAATCTCCTCAAGCTCAACAGACAGCTGCAACTCCTGTGACTTATCCCATCTTAACAAAAAACAAGGCAGGGTGGCAGGGGGAAGCTGGGGAAAGGAGTGAGGTAAGGTTGAGGGTGCTGACATAAATCAACTTTCTACCTGTGGTGGCAGGAAGAGAAGTGCCACCACCACCATGTGCCTGCATCCCCAGTGAACCAAGCTGGTCATAACCCATTTGGAGTTTGGGGGAGGGTGGCATTCCCTGAGTGGTCACTACAGAAGGCAAGAGTTTGTTACAGGAAATCCACTGCAATTCAGGCATGAAAAGAGAATGACCTGGGATTTTGCCACCTGAGTCACTGGGAGTCTGGGACACTGATTCAGTGCTGGCTCTCCTGACTCAGACACACCTGCAACAGCTTGCTAGCAAATGGAGGCACTCCTACCTTTGCTGTTCCCTTCTTATTGTGGTTTTCCCTTTAAGAAGAGGCCTTTTACAGCAGAAAATTAATTAGGAAAAGGAAAGCATAAGGAGAAGAATGGCACAGGATGCACAGGAAGCACAGGCAGTGCCCAACTAACCAGTTGTGCTTTCAGATCCAAAGTGGAGGGCACGTTTGCTTGCATGCTGTGATAAACCCCAGGAAATACAGGAGAATTAGGTGGAAACAGCTCCACCCTGACTCCTACTCCTCTTCACGTCTGCAGCACTGCCCACACAGTCCCGGATGAACCAGGTTTTCAAGAAAGATCTCTTTCCATAATGAATCCATTTCAATTTTTTAGGGATCAAGAAAGCTCTATGCAGCAAGTTGTGATTATATCCTTATACAATCAAATGGGCCATTCAGGCAACCTAAATGCAAGGCAATGTCATTTTTATGACATCCATGAGGGATAGATGTTTGCAGAAGGAGCTCCTTTTGCTCCTAGGGCAAGCTGAAGGTTTGAGTTCAGTGTGCCAGGCCAACCCTCCTTGCCCATTAACACTCCCACAGCAGGATCATGCACCTGCTTTTCAGACCTCCCCCGAGCAATCACAGATGGCAAAATATTCCGTTCCAGTTCCAGTTCCACACACACACCTCTGATCAGCTGTGAACACAATTCCAGATAATACAACAGTAGACTGCAACCCAGCCCTATATTTTCCCCTTCTCAAAGTAATCCAGAAATTGAAATCAAGATGCAAGCAGACCTGCTTGTAGCATAGCAAGAGGCATCACTGAAAGCATGTTTGGCATCTCAGGGACTTCAACTGACTTAGGCAATGCACTTAGAATGTCAAACAGCTGCAAAGAGCACAGATTAGATTTTTCATTTGAGTACTGATGCCTTAAAGCAATAACAAACCAAATAACTCAGGCAAAAGGATGCACACGGCAGCGCAGGGGAGGCACTACTCCACTGCTCCTGAGAGCAATCAGTGGCAGAGCAGAGCAGTAATTATCCAGGGAGGAATAAGCTGCTACAGGCTGTTCTTGCCATACATTAAGAAAACAACAGCAGATTTGTTCATGGTTGGATACCAACACGCACAGAGCTCCCTCCCACCCCGCTCGGGACGCAGGCCACGGGGGAGCTGCCAAAGGCCAGCTGAGCAGGAGCAGGAGGGCGCAGCCGCCGCCTGCGCAGCCGCCGCTCGCCCGGGATTCCCCAGCTGGTGCTCCGGGAAGGAAAAGGCAGTGCCTGTGTTAGCAAGGAGCATGGCCTCCCAGGGGCCGCTCTGCAGCTATGCTGCTTGCCAGCCCTCTCCTCAGAGGGCTGTCAGCAAGGCTAAAGGCAAACCTTATCTTTTGCCTGGGTGTTTTCACAAAAACTCTGGATGGAAAAAATAACTACTCACTGCAGAGCAGTCTGCACTACAGGATCCATTCCACACCCATCAGGCAAACCCTGCACACATTTCACCCTGGCCACATGCAGCCCCTCTTCCCATCACCAGGAACGTGACAAACATACCTGTTCAGAGCATCAGCTTCTCCTATAGCACTGTCAAGGAGCCAGAACACGATTCCCATCGGCATACAGGAACTGGCAAATCCTGTAAGCATTAGAGAGAATAGTAATTAGTGACATTAATGAGCTGGCTGGTGAAAAGGAAGGATGCCAAAGCAATCTCGCGAGAATCAGGAGGGTGTTAGATCCCTGCCCTGAACACACTCCTGCTAGCCCTGGCATCATGGCAGAGGTACGTGGCATGAGCCTGTCAGGGGACTTCTCCAAAATCACAGAGGGAAGCCAAAGTAAAAGACACGATGATGAGCCCCAAACCAAGGCTGTTCATCCAGTAATGCCTCCTCAACAGCCAGTGCAATGAAGATAACATCTACAAGCAGGGGCAGAAAAGAGGCTGGTGAATGAGATGGAAGAGGTCACCTACAACGCCCCTACTGTGCCCCCTGAGATGCTGCTGAAGATCTGCTTCACAGCACCTGTGCAGTTTCTTCTAGGTTGCAGAGGAAAATCCCACATGATGTCAGAGCCAGACTGCTTCCATTTTTTCATCATCATTATTGATTCATCATTAGTTTCATAATAAAAAAGGCTTTATGTTTTCCACTGATGGCTGTATAAAGCTTTTGTACCTAGTCACACAGAAGACATTTAACCAGCACTAAGCAAGAGCTGTGACAAAAGTCACCTCTGCAGGCTACAGAAACACCTCACTTCAGGCATTTGAAGTGCCTGCTGCATGCCAAAGAAAAGATAGCAGAAATGTTTTACTGAAAACAATTCTAAGCAGGCACAAGGAGAAGTTTTTCTGATAATACTACTGAAGCAAAGGTCACCACATCTAATATAATTTTACTTTTCCCATCCTGTTCATGCAATTGTTCAGGGATAGCAAGGAACATGGTGGATGAGGGAGCATCCTCAGACACACTGTAACAGAGAGAAGATCTGGAAGCTGAGGGAGGTAAGGAAATAGTGAGACATCTCTAGTCAAAACACCAAACCAGCAAGAGGAAGGTACAGAATCAGCCTGACAATGTCTCATTTGCTTCCTGCCAACTGGACCTCATTATGTACTGTGAGAAAACTTACTCATGCACATATCGGTTTACCTTGGACTGAGCAAGAGAGACTTGCTTGCTTTCCCCAGTCTCTGCAGGTGATTCAGAGAACTGTCATTGCCAACTGGTATTTAAAGAACTGAGAAAAGTCTAATCCATTCGTGGCTCCCTCCCATTCATTTCCCCCTTTCTCCTTTCCCATTATGGAAGGGCTGAAGGCATTTCTAAGTATGAAAAAAGTGCTGAAGTCCACAAGACCAGAGTACAGACCTTGGACTCCAGCCTGAATCACAAATTTTCCATCACCCTGTTGCTCTACATGAACCAAAACACAGGAGTTACTTGCTCCTGTTATGTACCTCCAGGAGGGTCTTCTGTTGTTCTTTTGAAGCCAGTAAATGAACACTGTTCAGCAGCTCTACAAGGACAGAAATAGCAGGACAAATCCAACCTGGCCAATAATCTTCGGTAGTAGCTTATGTATAAAGGTATGGAAAGCAAGGAAATTCATACCTTATCTTCACATGGCTTAAATCTGAAGTGGGGCTGCTTTACCTCTGTAGGACTTCACCTGCACTGGTATTGACCCATGCCTGCACCAGAGCTCAGCACATGGGGAGTACCAACATGGCAGCCATACAGACTGCCTTCTCCCTTCCTCCTCCAGGTCCTTTTCCATTTAACAACTTTCTCAACACAACTCTTACTCGTATACAATGCTGTAGAAACATCACCAGCAAAGTTCTAAGCCTCACTTCCCAGTACTGCAAAGCAAGGCAAAAAGAGATGCCTGAAGCTTTCTTAAGTGCTGCTGGATTTAATCAAAGCCATGTGAAGGTGGCCTGGCTTGCCCTCCCAAAGCAACTGCAGCTCTCAGACAAAGCATGTTGTCCCACAACAGACAAATATACTGGAAACACAGCGGAGTTCCAGGGAATCAGACTGCTCAGCCTCCCCCTTGGTTCCCAAACTTCCTTCTCACAGTGCCCAGCAGTCATTTATCCTAGGGCTGCTCCTCTCCAAGACACCACCAGGCTGCAGGCAATGCAGAGCACGGATGACACATGATAGCTAAGCTCCTCTGCCACTTTCCTGCAGCTCCAGCTTGCCCTTCAAAATATGAATTTCTTAGTGCCACCACCCCAGCAGACTTTCTGTGTCCTTGGCCAAGATGACTCCTTGCTTGTTGCAGACTGAAGTAGTGCTGCAGAAACACAATATATGAAACTTTTGTTTCATCTAATGCAGCAAACAAAGATTCACCAGAGTTTTTATATGAAAAGATTACAAAGCAAGGCAGCAGAGGACTGAGTGATACTGGGTAACTACAAAGATGGGGCATCCACAACTTTTGGGGGCAACCTATTCCAGTGCCTCATCACCCTCATCACAGAAAACTTCTCCTTTATATTCAATCTAATATTCTCCTTGATGCATTCAGCAGGAAGCTTTATTTAAAAGCTGTACTCAAAGTCCTCCCAGAGGGAAACCTCCCCTGGGTTAAGCGGGAAGCCAAATTCTGGCAGCATGTACACGAAGCCATCAGTCAGCAGTGCCCCACAAAGGACTCTTCCAACACTGTAGCCTCCTAGAAATATTAAAGCACTTGGCAATCCACCCTTTTTCATGGAAGGAAACTGGAGTAGAAGCAGGACATGTTCTACCAGGGGCTACACAGCTGCTCTTCAGCAAGCCATGCCCACTCCTGTACGCTCATCAGATCAACAGATCTGCTGCCACAACAGGCACTCCTGCCTTTTCCCTCCCCTCACTTCTACACATCTCAGCCATCTCTACCCTAGAGGTAGCAACCATCAATTGCTTGATTCAACTGGAAGCCATCTCAGAAATAAGAAAATAAAGAGGAAGAATTTCTGGCAGGAGAACAGCCTGAGATCAGCTAAAGCTGATGAAAAGCATAACCTCAGAAAGATGGCACAGTGATACATGTGGAAACCTAGATGAGGCTTCAACCCATCATATATTTGTCTTTGCACAGGGGTAAGTCATGTAAAAGCAGTTTAACAGCTCCATTCACTACTGAGCGTGCTCAGTCACTCTCTTTTCTAAAGGCCCATCCAAAACAGCCCGGTGATTTGCTCTCTGAGGTCTCCAAACTAGGCTGATGCATCCAAACAGCAACACACCACAGCTATGCAAGCCTTGCAGCTTACCAAGGCACAGCAGTAAAATAAAATTCCTCCAAGAGGTTTGGGGATGTTTTTTTTGGGGGGGAGGAGGGGGGGTATTTTGTCATAGCTGAAGGGTGTTCTCAAATGGTTTCAAGGAGCAGAGGAGCAAAGACAAGCATATGCAAAGCATCTAGCAAAAGCTCTTAAGCAAAGCAGACAGCAGGAAGCTGAAAATAAATACGCAAAGCCCTTTGCAGCACCGAAGTTCAAATCCATCTGGATAGTGCTAAGGCTGTCACGGCAGCCCATAGAGGGGATTTTCCAATTCCTCGCAGAGAAACCCTGGAAAATAATAATGGAAAAGTAGAAGCACAGGCTCAAATTCTAAGCCAGACCTTCATCCCAACACGTGACCAACTTCAACAGCACCAGGAGTACAGAGGGAGAACACATGCATGGTCCCCACAGCCTGGCTTGTCCTGGGCACCGGGAAGTCTGAGCCCCCTCCACCCCCACCTGCTTCTCCTCTGGCACTGGTGTGGATGGAGAGGTGGCAGCAGACACAGGTGCAGCTCAGGGAACCTGTCAGAGGGGCTGCCAGCACCAGTCACATGCCAGCCAGTCACCTCACCTCCAACACCAGCAAGAGGCACAGTCCCCAACTAAAAAGTACATGCCACAAAGCTGCACTGAGTGGAGGGAGCCGATCCATCATCTTGCCCAGAGGTCCCATCCAAGCATCCCAGCAGCAGTCTGACAGAGCTCCCCACCACTAGCTCCTTACAGAGGGGAAGGAGGTAGAGTAATCCTGCCTTGTTTTTCTGAGTTACACATTAGTCACACAGGCTTCTGCCCAAGGGCCCCAGGCAAGCCTTGCCTTCGATGGTTGCTGCGTGCCCCCACTGAAACCACCAACTCTCAACAGGAACAGACAAGCACAGTTCAAAAACTTACATTCGAGCCTCCTTTACACACCTTTCACAGAAATACCCAGAGCTGCCCCTCCACTTAACACAGTTCTATTTTTTTTCCCCACCAGAAAAAGCACCCAGTTACTCAAATTGAATTTCCATGGCATTAAAGTCAATTAATCAGCTACACATCTCCAACTGACCCATTCCCAGATTTTCTGATAACTACCACACAGACCATATGCACACCTCCAAAATATCCTAAAGCAACCTTAAGAAAATCATGGACTTTGTAATAAAGCTTAAGCTTTCACCTCTGCAGAAATGCATCTTAGTTAAAAAATAAATAAACCACAACGGATCAATTCAGGTCAGTTTTTACCGAGAAGAGCTTCAGAAGTCAGCTGCAGCTTGGTGTAACCACAGAGCTCACGTGAGGCAGAACACAAGAGCCATCACGTCCATCACATCACACATCCAACATCCAGGCTGGTGACCTTGCAGTTGCCTGTATGCCACCTTCCAGCAGCAGGGACCTGAGGCAGAGCACGGCTCCTCAGCTTGCAGGGAGAAGCAGCTCATTGCAGTCCCCAAGACACCAGCGACCACGGATAACGGATGCAAGCAATGCCCACACCTGTTTCTAAGTACAGACCAGCTGCCAAAGCAATCAAGCGAGCCCAGCCCTTCAGCTGCACCTCCACAGAGCTCCCTGGCCTGTGCCACAGCTCTGCTTTCCCCACCGGCTCTGCAGCACCAGCAGGAATCGCTCTGCACCGCAGTTTTGCAAGCAGATGCCTGCAGCGGAAGCAGCCTCCAGTGCACAGCCTCTTTGCTCATTTTAATGCAATTTCTTGAAATCAAACAAGAACAGCTAAATTCATTCTCTCTGAGCTCCAGCAGGATACTGGCTAACCCAATCTTTTCATTTCAGTCTGCCATTTCCAGCAGTCAGAGAATATGGAGTAGAAACATTGTTTGAAC